TGAAAAAGAAAAGCAAAGCTGGCGGCATCACAATTCCGGACTTCCAGCTCTATTACAAAGCTGTCATCATCAAGACAGTATGGTACTGGCACAAAAACAGACACATAGATCAATGGAACAGAATAGAGAGCCCAGAAATGGACCCTCAACTCTATGGTCAACTAATCTTCGACAAAGCAGGAAAGAATGTCCGATGGAAAAAAGACAGTCTCTTCAACAAATGGTGTTAGGAAAATTGGACAGCCACATGCAGAAGAATGAAACTGGACCATTTCCTTACACCACACACAAAAACAGACTCCAAATGGTTGAAAGACCTAAATGTGAGACAGGAGTCCATCAAAATCCTAAAGGATAACACAGGCAGCAACCTCTTTGACCTCAGCCGCGGCAACTTCTCCCTAGAAACATTGCCAAAGGCAAGGGAAGCAAGGGCAAAAATGAACTCTTGGGATTTCATCAAGATAAAAAGCTTTTGCACAGCAAAAGAAACAGTCAACAAAACCAAAAGACAACCAACAGAATGGGAGAAGATATTTGCAAATGACATATCAGATAAAGGGCTGGTATCCAAAATCTATAAAGAACTTATCAAATGCAACACCCCAGGAGCAAATAATCCAATCAAGAAATGGGCAGAAGACATGAACAGACATTTTTCCAAAGAAGACATCCAAATGGCCAACAGACACATGAAAAAATGCTCAACATCGCTCAGCATCAGGGAAATCCAAATCAAAACCTCAATGAGATACCACCTCACACCCAGTCAGAATGGCTAAAACTAACAAGTCAAGAAACGACAGATGTTGGTGGGGATGCGGAGAAAAGGGAACCCTCCTACACTGCTGGTGGGAATGCAAGCTGGTGCAGCCACTCTGGAAAACAGTATGGAGGTTCCTCAAAAATTGAAAACAGAGCTACCATATGACCCAGCAATTTCACCACTGGGTATTTACCCCAAAGATACAAAAGGAGTGATCCGAAGGGGTACGTGCACCCCGATGTTTATAGCAGCAATGTCCGCAACAGCCAAACTGTGGAAAGAGCCAAGATGTCCATCGACAAATGAATGGATAAAGAAGATATGCTACATATATATACAATAGAATCTTGCCATTTGCAACGACGTGGATGGAACTGGAGCATATTATGCTGAGTGAAATAAGTCAATCAGAGAAAGACATGTATCATCTGATCTCACTGATACGAGGAATTCTTAATCTCAGGAAACAAACTGAGGGTTGCTGGAGTGGGAGGGGGTGGGAGGGATGGGGTGGCTGGATGATAGACACTGGGGAGGGTATGTGCTATGCTGAGCGCTGTGAATTGTGTAAGACTGTTGAATCACAGACCTGTACCTCTGAAACAAATAATACATTATATGTTAAAGAAAAAAAAAGAAGATAGCAGGAAGGGTAAAATGAAGGGGGTAAATCGGAGGGGGAGACGAACCATGAGAGACTATGGACTCTGAAAAACAAACTGAGGGTTCTAGAGGGGAGGGGGGTGGGGGGATGGGTTAGCATGGTGATGGGTATTAAAGAGGGTACGTACTGAATGGAGCACTGGGTGTTATACGCAACAATGAATCATGGAACACTACATCAAAAACTAACGATGTAACGTATGGTGACTAACATAACAAAATTTAAAAAAAAAGGAAAGGTAAACAAAAAAAACAGTAATGGTATTATTAAAAATTAAGTTGTAAAAGTATGTTTCTATTGCTTTAGAAATATACTCATGACATATTATTACAAAACCACAAGCCACGTGTGTGTGTGTGTGTGTGTGTGTGTGTATATACGCTCAGAAAATGCCTAGAAGGATATGGATGACCAGTGCATAATTCTGTAGCATGGGACAATTTTAATTTTTACATTCTACATGTTTCTCACTATTTTCTCATTTCTCTCCTATGACTATGTATTACTTGTATAACAAGTTTTTATAACCTTAAAATTAGTGAGCCAACTAAGAAACCTTATAAATTATGTATTTAATAGAAAATGGGCAACTGCTGACACTAAAAATTATCTTAAAGAAATTAATTTATTTTAATCCTTACATATTTTAGGTAAGTGTGAGTCTAAAAACCAAGTTTTAATTGTGGCTCTATTACAAGCCCCCTGGTCCTCAGAAAGTCATTTAACCTTTCTCTATTTTGGATTTCTCATACATTGAATGAGGATGATTGTAAAAATCCAATAATAAATGCATAGCCATTTAAAAAAGATTTCAAATGTTATCTTTGAGTCCCTGGGATTACTTTGAGCCCCCAGTATTATTCCATAATAATGGTATTAAGACATCCAGTTATTTGTAATTTAGGAATACAAAGATGAGTTAATTAGGATTTGATTATTCCATTTATCAAATGAACCATGACATAAATATCTAATAACTAGATGAACAATTGCTTAGAAATAAAAAATTACCAACAATCATACATGTAAACATTATTTTGTCTTGGTTCCAAGTCCAATTTCTATAGTTTATTAACAGACTACAGAATTTGCCTTGTGAAGAAGCAACTTCACTTCTCATCTGTGCAGAGAATCAAGTTTCTAATTTTAATAGTGGGACAGCTAAGGCGGTACTACTTTTTCCATGACCTTCTTTTCCATCCCTTTCCCTCCTCTTTCCCATTTCATTCAAACTACAAAAGAACCAGAGAAGTTAAGGAGTGAAGATTCTTGACACTTAACTCTGCATGTGTCATCATAACAGGTAACCCCGAGACCACACAGCTGCCAGCTCTGACTTAATCCTCCCAACTGTCTGTGATTCAGCTATGCACTGGAAACAAAGTATTTGTGCCCAGTTGGAATTTTCCACTTAAAACAAAATAGCGGCATTCAGCTAAGTCAGTGTAATTTATCACTGTATAATATATATTCCCAAACAGGTCACTTAAAATGTTTCACACAAAACAACCTCAATGATATATATGGATGGATTTTCATCCAGTGTAAGTATCAAAAGTCACTTAGTATGAAATCTTATTCTTGTAATTGTCTATCTTTCCCTCACAAGTACTAATGATTGTGATTACCATACGATGCCGTCAGAACAAGAAAAGGAATAAAATGAAGAAGCACCAGAGCCTTTTGCTAGAAGACATAAACAAGGTTATCTTGTATATCTGTGTTAGAAAACCTTCTGCTCACAAATTCAGGTATCTTTGGCAAACCTGTTATTCATTATCCACATTTGTGGGAATTCTGTCCTACCATTCTAAGGTTGCCTGGGGCCACCTCAATGAAAATGTACTTCCCCTGTGAAGTACAGACCCAGTAACTAGCCACATCTTCCATGATAACTATGGGGAAAAGACACAGGGCTGAGAATGGAGCTGGGAATTGTACAACATAATCATTTCAGGATCAATGAAATCTGCAGTATAGCAAACATGCCTGCGTACACAATAAGACTGTCACAATATCATTTTCAAATTCTAACAAACTCTTTGTCCATATATGATTCCTCAATATGCTCCTGGCTTATTTATTATTTGTAGTGTAATTTTACAGTCAGGGAGTTAATAAAGTAAAAAGTACTAGGAGTTTCCTGTAACTTTCATTACCAATTTTTTTGCTTTAGATTTCCATTTTCCTTCCCCTAACAAGTTGGCAAAGAAACACTTGAAGAACAATTTCTTGGTTAAACTGTTACAAGCTTCTTTGCATATCACGCAGCAAAAGAAACGCCATGAGGTTAAGGTCTCTTGAGTAACATCCCATCACCTTCATTAAGAAGCCATGCTGGGCCAATGGTACCAGTGCTTCATCACTAAAACAGAACAACTAGGCCTGACCAGTGTAATTGTGCTTTGTTTAGCAGCTCCAGGGCCTTGGAGTTAAGGGCTCAGTATCAGAGGGTCTCCCAAATAAGAGCCTGTCTTTTGTGCTGCCCATCATGGCTAGAGAAAATAAAAGCCCCCAGAGAAAAATAAAAGGGTGCTCCCAACATGTTACTTCTATCACCACAGACAATCTGGTCTTTAGAAAGACTTGCAGCTGGGTTGTGTAAGAAGATGACTATCAGGGAAGAGGATTCTGGAGCTGGAAAGGACATTCTCACACATGTATCTGAAAATGTGATTCAATGGCATAAAAATAGAGACTACATTTGGTGCTGTCTGTACCTCTATTTCCTTTTCCTTCATGGTTATACAAAGTATTGCTCAAAAGAGCCAACCCAGGGCTCAGGTCAGGGAGTGCAGTCCGGTCCTCCCACTACATCATATTCATAGCATCCTCACAATTCTTATGGTCTCCCTCAGACTATCATCAAACTAAGCCATCCAGGTCTCCTCTTGTGTGACCATGGAATACACATTCCCCAATAGAGGTCTGATGATACAAGGTGTCACTTTATTTGAAAAGTGAGCCAACCAAATCCCAGAACTGGTGGTTTGTGATCCTACCCTGCCATCTGATGACAGAGTCAGCTCACAACCATGAAGAAGGGCAGATATGACCCAACTTCTGCAGACCTTTACTTTATCTTGGTGGTATTCTCTGGCAGTCTTTCAGTCATGATTACAACCCGCTTGAATCCTGCTCCTTCTGCTCTAAGTGTATATCTTGCTATATGATATTGTAATGTGTGGTCTCTATAGAAGAAAAACTAGCCAGAACCATTTGCCAAAAATGCTGAAATGCTACTAAGTGTTAGTATTTATAGCCTATGATAGGCATCCCACAGCTACCACGCAGCACCTGAATCATGCTCCCTCCATCATCTTCTTTCTCTGCCTCACTCTATTTTTCTTATTCCTACATCTTAGATACCTACCAACCCAAGAAACTTGATCAGTTCCATTGGCTTAAACCTCAGAATATAGTAGACTGCTGATCCCTACTAGTGTAAAGCATTATTTTAATGATGGTAATTATAGAATCCTAGAACAAAACAAGACTAAAGTTCAGAATTGGTACTGTTAACAAAGTGCAAAATTTTACAGAATATAAACATGTACACAATAAGCTTACCATTGACATTAACCAATGAGAGAATATTATCCTGGTGATCAAGGAGGCGCTTAATTTCAAGAATATCCCATTCCAGTGATTCTTCTGTGGGTGCTACCAGCCGGAAAATTACTAAATGAAAATACAGATATAATTTTGTTAAAATGGTCAAAGAAGATAGAATTCTATTTCTGCTCAAAAAGCTAGCATTTCATTAAGTGAGAAAGATCTAACATATTGAAAAACTCATCTCCAAAGAAAGCCTTACTCATACTACTTTAGAGTATTTCTTTCAAATGCTTGAGATGTTTGAGATCTACTAAAATCCCAAGTGAGTGTGTCTTTACAACTGTTCCTTTATTAAAACTCTTTTAAGCCAGAAGTCTCCATCTTATCTAGGGCTTCAGTGTAAGTCTGGCTACCCTGCCTCCCTCTCTCCTTGGACAGTGACTGGTCCACAACCTAGAATCATCTTCATCATCAGCTTTCTCTACTCATGTTCTCAGGTCAGTAAGCACTGCTACAAAAGAAGCTACAAATTCATGGTTAACTTCAACTCAGTGAAGACTTCAGCAGCCATTAATTTTTTAAAAATTTTCTTGACACTTAGTCATACATTACTGAATTATAAATTCTCTGAGAACATGCCTTATAGTTTTTGTGTGTCACAGATATTCAATGTGTTCCTTTAATATACTTTTGACTATAATAGATGTTCAGTGTGTTGCTTTACTCATTATCTGACTTTTTAATAGTTTTATTTAAACTTGTATAAATCCTAACTTTAATCAATACAGAAAACCCAAAAATCAAATCAACAGGAGTGATTCTATCAACATTTACTAAACATTTACTACGTTTCAGAAACTTAGACATCAAATGTGAAAAAGGCCCAGTCACTGCCCTAAAATACAGTCTAGAGTGGGAGTGAGACTTATAAACAAGCTTATGATCAATGTATTAAGTGCTGTAGATAAGCCACTGTACCAAGTGCTATGGATGGTCACAGATTAGGACAATTAATATCTGAGAAGTGGGTAGGCCTCAGAACTCATATCCTTTCCAGGTGGTGGCTAATACTGTCTCTCTTCTTTCTCACATTTCTCTCTGGAAAACAGATCATACCACATTTCTGTCTATGTCTCCGGACAATATGTTACCAGCTGACAAATCTCTAGCCAAGTTATTTCATCCTGACAGCCATTCACATTCAAACTGTGGCTATCAAAAGAGAAGGTATTTCAGTAAATACAAAGGGAATGCTTCTGGATACCTATCAAAGTTGTGTAAAAACTCTACTTATAGTTTGAATACTACTAAATCACCTTGAGATTGGGACTGTGGAATAACGGACAATATACTATTTAATCAAACTAAGAGGAATAACCTGAAATACTGACAAGAAAAGGAAACCTACCAAGTAGGTTTCTATAAACTACCAAGTACTAAATATAATATGAAACTGTTCAGTGAATCCATAAATATGGTCCCCATAGGCAAGTATTCACAGGGTCACCCATGTAATAACTTCAAGGAAATAAAACAAATATAAATTAGATCCAAAAGACAAAAGGGAAGCAATAGTCAATTCTAAAAAATGGTTAAGAAAAAATAGCCTGGTCTTCTGAACCAAGATGAAGTCTCTGAGCTGATAGCCTTGCTTAGCCTCAAAATCACTGAAACACACAGTACACTCAGAAATTTTATTTCCTATTGAGGGGCATCTGGGTGGCTCAGTCAGTTAAGCATCCAACTCTTGGGTTTCAGCTCACGTCATGATCTCAGGGTTGTGAGATCAAGCCCTGAGTCGGGCTCTGCACTCAGTGCGGAGTCTGCTTGATTCTCTCCCTCTGCCTTCCCCTTTGCCCCTCCCCTCACTCATGTACACACGCAATAAATAAATAAATACTTAAAAAAAAATAAAGAAATTGTATTTCCTGTTGAAAGGAGCATGCCCTAATACAGAAAAAGAGAAATTGGTATGGGACATTTATAACCAAGAACATGGGCAGAAATTGGGTCCTGGAAAAACAAAAGATATTCTATTTACAGAATGAAATTTAATTTTTTTTAATTTATTTATTTATTTATAAGTAGGCTCCATACTCATCGTGGAGCCCAATGCAGGACTTGAACTCATGACCCTGAAATCAAGACCTGAGTTGAGATCAAGAGTCAGAGGCTTAACCGACTGAGTCACTCAGGTGCCCCTGAAATTTATTTTTATGTAAGGAAAAATGGCACTATATGTATGATAAAACTAACAAAATGCAGAACCTTATTTTTAAGATTACATATTTTTTACAACTTATTTTCTGCATAAAACCTATTCTTTGCTGAGATCATGTTCTTCATAATTTTTGTTAAAATGTAATTTTACAGAATAAAGGTGGTAAATGATAGTTTATTTTTTTGTTTTCGCTTTTAATGTTTTTGCTAAGCAAAACACTTTTGTACTAGTTAGAAATTCGAAAGTGTAGAAATGACCACTGTAGGCAATAGAAGCCACTGAAGGTTTTAAGCAAGGAAGTAGACTGCCTTTTAGATCGATCATCTCTGGCACCTGAGATGGCTGAAATGTATCTGAGAAGCTGTAAACTAGAGGAGAAGGCACTGGAGAAGTACTACAGTAGAGGAGAGGAAAGGACGTAGGTTAGGAGACTAACACAACAGAACAGGCACAAGGGGAGATGAGAGCCTGAACGGAGCAGAGCAACAGTAGAGAAATGGAAAGAAGAGGATCAAAATATTTAGAGCCACAGTCCTCAAAGTATGGCCCCCAGCCGGCACCCTCAGCGGGGTCAGAAATGCAGAAGCTCACTCCAGACCTACTGAATTAGAAACTCTAGGGGTATGACCTAGTAATTTGTGTTTTTAGCAAGCACTCTGGGTTATTTTAACACACAGCAAAATCTGAGAACCACTGAGTTAGGTAGTAAAATCAGCAAAACTCAAAGTGATTGGCTGGCTACAGGAGGAGAAAGGCAGGGAAGAGCGAAGCAGGTTTCCAGCTCCATCAAAAATGTGGGAAAACTAAATTTCTGCAAGGAAAAGAGAAAACTAAACACAGCATTGTATCTTTTGAAACTATTCTATGGAAACAAAGGATAAGCACAGGATCCAGAAAATTACTCCTCTGACATGATTACACATGGAAAGGTCAGTTGAAGAAAGAGAAACTTGGCTACAAAGCAATGGAGGCTGCAAACAGCACATAAGTGGTAAACAATTAGCTCACGTCGTACTGGCATTTGCAAGTCTCAGGTCTGATCTGTGGGAAAAGTAGCACAAGTAACATCAAATGCCCTCTGGGATACATTAGAAAAATTCTTGTAGAAAAATGCAGCCTTTAAGCAGCATGCTTACTATTACTATCACTTCTCGGCACCCAAATTCCATTCAAAAGGCAGTGGGAACAAAAGGCTTATTTACTGTGGGCTCCCCGGCAGTGAAAGAGCCAACAGTCAACAGTGAAGTGGCCTTCAAACAGCAGGTTTATAATCAATTAATACATTTACAAAATTCCTCTTGCTACCCCCTTCCCTCTGCTCTGAAGGCCCCCTACTACACTCTGAAGGAAATGGTATAAATTCCTCCCAAGAAAACAGGCCCCACTCTGGCTTCCTGAGGCAAAAAACGCCACAGTGGCTACCTCAGTGAATTTCCACAAAGATCGTCCTCCAACCATTCGACTCGAGTTGGCAGTTGCCAGAATGCTGATAGCTGCTTTACGTGGTTAAAATGTTTGCTAAGTGTATGACTATGGACCAGCAACAGAGAGGACTAGAATGTAAATTGCCTTCTCTGGCATCAGACATGTAGGGTTACCCTGCTCCCACTTCTCTGGGTTAGATCGAGCACAGAACAAAAACCGACCTAAAGTCTTGAAAATGTCTCAGTCTCCACATCACTTCAAAAATCGCAGGAGGCCAACACTGGGGCAGGGGTGGATGTCCCTTAAATTAAAAACTTAACTTGTCTCTCCAAAATGTGTATACAAGTCTAGTTTTAAATTTTTTAAAAAAGAAAAGAAAAAGAGTCCTACTCACTCAGTTCTTTGCCAACTGCTGCCACAACACAGTTCTTAGGTATTTCAATCAAAGCACTGATCCCTTAAAAAATATATAAAACAAAGGTCAAATTATTTTCTTCAAGGATGACATCAAAAATAAAAACATTCTCAGATTTATGTCAGTCATTTCCCATAAAAGCGGTGGTAACAGTAAAGCTCACACAATTTGCTACACCACACTTCCGTGCTTACCTAAACATGGAAAATGATTCTGTGAAAAGTATGTGAGACCTAAAGAAGACACTGATTTACTAAGGGCAGACTATGCTCTTTGAACATTTTTACTATTGTGGTCAACTTTTTTACCAGGAATCCCTTAGGATAATCACCATGATCATTTACAAGATAGCTAGCTCAAACAAGATGCAAAGTTGGCATTTTCCTCAATGTAAATTTAAAAAGCCTGAGCAGACCCCCTGGCAGTAAGTGAGTTTAGTCACAACAATCAATAGCTAAGAACATGGCTTTCAAATAGCATGTTTATAATCAATTAGTACATTCACAAAATTCCTTGTATTACTGGAAGAGTAAGAGAGTTCTGAGTATCTTTTTATAGCTGAATCATGAAATGATTTTAGGGTAACCTTAACTTTTGTAAAAGACATTACAATTATTAATTTGTCAACAAGAATTGATATATTAGATTCAGAGCCGCCATGAGCTGGTAAAAAAAAATTTTATTGAAGTTAATTTTCCATTATGAAATATATGTAATTTATATCTATACACACACATACAAATACATATGTAATTTCTAATACATACAAATTTGGAAAATATTCTACTCATTTGCTTTAACTTCCCACCCATCAAAAAACTAGCACTCTTAGGATATGGGGAGTATTTCTAACCTAAATCTTTTCTCCATGTAGAGTTGTTTTGACAGTATGCTTTGTGTTTTTCCATGTTCAAGGAGGAGGCGGAGATAGTGGAAGAGGAGAAAGGGGGAGAAGTTGTACAAGCTAAAAAGTAGAGGAGACAGGAGAGCAGGGGAAGGGGTAGCAAGACGAGAATTCTAGATGCAGAAAACAGCTCATTAAAACACTGTCACAGGAATAAAAGGTACAGCACAAGGAATATAGCCAATGGTACTGTAATAACACTGTACAGTGGCAGATGGCAGCTACACTTGTGGTGAGCACAGTATAACATATAATTGCTGAATCACTATGTTATACACCTGAAACTAATGTAATATTGTGTCAACTATACTCGAATAAAAAAAATGTTTATCAAATAATGAAAATACTGGAAACTCAGCAATCTAGAAGTAGCAACTTAATGTACAAATCACAGAACATACTGCTTTTGGAAAAGGAAAGATATCTGTGTTCTAGGTCAAGGTTCTTTCCATTGCATTGTACTAGGACTATCCTTGCTTATTTCTAAATATAGAATAACTGCCCCCAGAAGCCCTGCTAGCCGAAAATCAAGCAAGCCTTATGAAAGAAGCTTCCTGAGCTAAAGGTCTAAGAGCACTGCTAATTCAATGGCATCCTGTAATCTGGAAAACCCAAATCACAAAAAGCTCACCAATGGTACCCTATGGTCTTCTCAAAGCTTTCTAAAAGATTTTCTCAAAGGTTTCCACTATCTCTTGAGACACTGATAAATAGGGCAATACTGTGATTACCTAGCAGTACTCCAAGATAACTTGCAAAAGAAAGGGAGACTACAGTAATAGGTGGTTCCTTACACTAACATACAAAACATTTTCGTTAGCCCTGATTTCAGTATTTCACAACATAGATACTAATAATTCATGGAATAAAATTCACAGGTAGCCACAAGCTAATGTAAGAAACACAAAGGAAAATATACATGTAAATAAAGAGATATAACTCATAATAAGAAATCTGAAAATACAATCTAGATACCACCAAGATTACTAGTGATCAAACATTCAATGGAAAAGTAAAACTGTAAATCCTACAACAGTATGGATTTAGTTTTGCTAAGACATCATGTTAGTTTTCTAACATTTTATAGTATCTATGTGGAGATGAGTTAGTTCCAATTATGAACTGTAAATTAAATTCACAGGGCTCCTGCTACCTTTAAGACATCAATATGCTTAATAATGTTCTTTCTACAATGTCCATGGGTTTATCTGATTACTTTCAGAAACAAACATAGTTAACAGTGTATCACATGACTTCAAGGTTATTACTCAGATTTACTCATTTATACTTAAATATTTTTTACTCTGAATAGTTTTTAGTTTTATTTTTTTAAGATCCTTGGTTTCAGAAGTCAAAACTGATTTTCTTCTGTTAAAACCAAAAATATCAACCAAATTCTGAGAAAATAGAATTTTATTAGTAAGTTTGCACAATGTATGAACTTTATAGCAAAACCAATTGTAAAATGAAGTCATCCTTTGGAATCTATTCAAAGTCCAATAACCCCACAAATAAAGAAGGAAATGCTATTATAAAGTCAGAAAGGTTTAATTACACGTGTCAATGTGTTCATCAAACTCAGTTTAGGAACAGAGCCCAAGGGCATAAATGAAAAGGTTTTTCTTGACCACTTTTGAGAAATGCTGTTAGAATGGAAGGGAAGGCCAAGAGGAGGGGCAGGATCATCTCCCTCCAATTTGAGATGGAAATATATTTTACGCAACCATGAACCTGAACTGGAGAAATACGGTACAGGATATATTCAGAATTGAAAAGAAAAATCCCCTATATTAACCTCTGTATTCATGGAAAGTCTCTTTGAAGATTCATTATGTCTTTTAAAGCCCATCAATCATGGTTCATAATTACTTTGATTTGTTTTCTTACCTGTATCAGAAAGGTGACTGGTCTTACACAGGAGATCTAATTTTTGGTTCCACACACATAGGTCATTCCCACCAGAGAGCCAAACATTTAGTCTCTGAAGAACAATTAAACACTGCAAAATTCATGTGAAATGTAAATCAGTTTAGAATTTCAAGCATTCACTGGTGTTTTTCAAATATGTGCACAAGTTCTTTGCTACCATTCTCTTAAGGGATGAAGCTTAAGTCTCCCACTCTTGAATGAGGGCTCTCCTAAGTGACTAGCTTCTAACAAATAGAATGTGGCAGGAGGGATGGTGTGTGACTTATAAGACTACGTCATAAAAGACATGGTGGCTTGCTCCTAGCTCTCTCTTGAGATCACTCACTCTAGGGCGAACACATACAAGCAGCCATATGGAGAAAGATGCACATGCAAAACAGTGAGACCTCTGGACAAAAGTAAGCACTACCTTACCAAGCACGTGAGCCCCCAGGAACCTCCAACCCCAGTCAAGCCTTCAGATGACAGCAACTTCATAATACACACTGAGCCAGAACTACTTAGTTCAGCTGCTCTTTATTCCTGACCACAAATACTGTGAGGTAATATTTACTGTTTTAAGCAACTAAGTTTTGAGGTAATTTGATACTCAGTAATAGATAATACCCAAGGCTTAAACAAACTTCCTTTAAAAATAAAAATGGAAATATGACCTTAGTTTTTATGTAATCGTCAAATTAATAGCTCCTAATCCTTAACTTAGGAAAATGAGTGTTTCAAGTCTACAGAAGTCCTTTACCTTGAATAGTACTTTAAAGTCCACACCTTTAATTGTACTCTGCCCATCCATGACTCTGAGTTGAGCACAAAGGTAAGAGTGACAGAGAAGAATAAAAAAGAAAAGGTGGTCTTGTCTAAGCAGAGGGTGGGGTTGCTTTTAAAGGTGCTGGAATAAAAAGGTTTGAAAATAATGCAGTTTATATTTCAAGAGTTCACTATGGTGAGCACTGTGAATTGTGTAAGACTGCTGAATCACAGACCTGTACCTCTGAAACAAATAATACATTATATGTTAAAAAAAAAAAAAAAGACAGCAGGAAAGGAAAAATGAAGGGGAGAAATTGGAGGGGGAGATGAACCATGAGAGACTATGGACTCTGAGAAACAAACTGAGGGTTCTAGAGGGGAGGGGGTGGGGGGGATGTGTTGGCCTGGTGATGGGTATTAAAGAGGGCACGTTCTGCGTGGAGCACTGGGTGTTATATGCAAACAATGAATCATGGAACACTACATCAAAAACGAATGATGTAATGTATGGTGACTAACATAAAAAAAAAAGAGTTCCTACCCTAATTTTTGAATGTTTAATATTTCAGTACTTTGTTCCTTTTTTTGCCAAATAATATTCCACTATATGGATTCAGCACATTTGTCCATTCTCAGTTGGTGGACATTTACTTTCTTTTTGTATTATGTATAGTGCTGCCATGAACATTCATGTACAAGTTTTTGTGTGGACATACATTTTCATTCCTCTTGACAATGAAATAGGAATACCTACTAGTGAGATTGTTAGGCCAAATGATAACTCTTTAACATTCTGATGAACAAACAACTTTCAAGGTAGCTACACCATTTTACAATTTCAGCGGCAACATATGAAGGTTACATTGTCTCCTTATCACTTGTTATTACCTGTCTCAGATATTAGCCATCTAGTGTATATGAAATAGTACTGCATTATGGTTTTGACTTGCATTTCTCTAATACCTAATGATACTGAGCTTCTTTTCACATGATTATTGGCCATCTGTATATATTCTTTGGAGAATTATCTTTCACAGTATCTATTTTTAATTGGGTTCTTTTTATTGTTGAGTTTTAAGAGTGCTTTATATATTCAGGATACAAGTTCCTTATCAGATATATGATTTGCAAATATTTTCTCCCATTCTATGGGTTATCTTTTCATATTCTTGATAGTGTTCTTTGAAGTATAAACACTTTTTTTTTTAACATTTTATTTATTCATTTGAGACACAGAGATACAGACAGAAAGAGAGAGCATGAGCAAGGGGAGAGGCAGACAGAGAGGGAGAAGCAGGCTCCCCGATGAGCCAGGAGCCCGATGTGGGGCTTAATCCCAGGACCCTGGGATCATGACCTGAGCTGAAGGCAGACGCTTAACCATCTGAGCCACCCAGGTGCCCCTAAACGCTTTTCATTTTGATGAAATCCAATTTATCACTTTTTTTTTTGTTACTGTATTTTTGGTGTCATCCAAGATCCCTAACCCAAGATCACAAGTATTTTCTCCCATATTTCTTCTAAGAGTTTTTACAGTTTCAGCTTTTATTACGATCTTTGATCCATTTTGAATTAATTTTTATATATGGCATGAGGCAGGGATCCAATTTCATTTTTTTGTATGTGGATATCCAGTTGACCCAGCATTATTTGTTGAAGAGACTATTTTTGCTCTTTTTGAAAAGTCTTGGCAACCTTGCCGAAACTCAAGTGATCAAATATGTGAGGTTTTATTTCTGGACTCTCAATTATATTTCACTGATCTGTGTGTCCTCCTTATCCAGTACCACACTGTCTTGATTACTATAGCTTTGTAATAAATTTTGAAATTGGGAACTCTGAATCTTTTAACTTTGCTTTTTATTTTCAAAACTGTTTTAGCTCTTCTGGGGTCCCGTGCACTTCTATATCAACTTTAGGATCAGTTTGTCAATTTCTGGGGGGCAAAAAAAGTCTGCTGGGATTTTGGTGGAGACAGTGTCCAATGTGCAGATCATTTTGGGTAGTGCTGCAATCTTTTTTTTTTTTTTTAGTGCTGCAATCTTAACAATATTAAATCTGATCCATGAATATGGAATGACTTTCCATTTCCTCAAGAGTTTCTTTCAAAAAATGTTTTGTAGTTATTCATGTGCAACTCCCTTGTTTCTTCTTTAAATTTATTTCTATGTAAATTTATTCTTTTGGATGCTACTGTAAATTCATTTCATTTCCTTAGTTTTTCTTAATTTTTTTTCTTAGTTTCATTTTTGGATGTTCATTACTAGTGTATAGCAATACAATTAATTTTGTATACTGATATAGTGTACTGAAACCTTGCTAAATTCATTTATTAGTTTTAATAGTTTTGGTTATGAATTTAAGATTTAGTATATAGATCATGTCACTTGTAAATACAGTTTTATTTCTTCCTTTTCAATATGGACACCTTTTATTTCTTTTTTATTGCCCATAACACTGAACAGTGCCATCCTTGTCTTCTTTCTGATCTCAGGGGAAAAAGTATCCAGTTAGTCTTTCACCCACTGATATGACGTTAGCTCTGGGGTTTTCACAAATGTCCTTTGTTACGCTGAGGAAGTTCTCATCTCTTCTTTGTTGACTATTTTTACCATGAGAGAGTGCTGAAGTCTGTAAAATGCTTTTTCTTCATCTACTCAGATGATCATGCTTTTGTCCTTTATTCTTACTATGGTATATTACAGTTATTGATTTTCAGATGTTAAACTGAAATAATGTATTTTTGGTGTCATCCAAGATCCCTAACCCAAGGGTCATGATGTATAATCCTCTTTATATGCTGTTGATTTGGCTTGCTAGTATTTTGTTAAGGATAATATACTTATTTTGTCACTTAACATCTTATTAGAATTTTCCAAACTCCTTATGAATTCTCTGAAATACCATTTTTAGCATATCTATCTACTGCAATTTAAGTATTTTCCTGTAGGACATTTAGGATATTGCCAATCATTCATTTATAAAATATATCTTCAATAGACATTTCCATTCATAAACCTCTGCCTTTTTTTAAAATTATTTCCTTTAAAGAGTTTTCTATAAGTAGAATCTCTGGGTCAATTCATGTAATCATTTTAAAATTTTCATTAATGGGCGCCTGGGTGGCTCAGTTGGTTAAGCAACTGCCTTCAGCTCAGGTCATGATCCCAGAGTTCCAGGATTGAGTCCTGCATCGGGCTCCCTGCTCGGGGGCGGGGGGGCAGTCTGCTTCTCCCTCTGACCCTATCCCCTCTTGTGCTCTCTCTCTCTCAAATAAATAAAACCTTTAAAAACTAAAAATAAAATTTTCATTAATAATGTCAAACTGTCTTCTAGGAATATCTTCAATTTATACCTCAACAGCAATAAAAATGCCAACTTCATTTCCTTGCTAATACGAACCCTTATAAAGACTTTACTAGCTCAAAAAATGAATAACAGTATTTCTTATATTTATTAGGGATCTGAATTTGATAAATTTATCTCTTCAAGAAGAACTGAATCACTGAAATAAAATGAGTGAAATGCTATTTTTAACAATGTCTTATGTGAAACATGATCACAGCAGGAGTAAATACAACCATCTAACTAACATTATAGTAAAACCTCTTTAAAAAGTACTTTCACCATACTGGAATAAGATACCTCTTAATGATCAGTTCCTATAGACAGTTCACCAAAGGAATTTGTCCAAAATACACCAAACTTTTTCTCCTGTTCCTATTCTCTATTCCTTCACTCATGTATTTTCATTTGAAACCTTATGACCTCTGTCAAACAGCAAGAATATTTTTTAGGGAATTTTAAAAAAGCATCTTTTCAGATCAAATAAACCATAGAAATTCTCATCAAATCAATACTTTAATAACTTCCTCAAAGAGAGTCCATTGTTAAATTGGATACAAGCATTTCTGGGCACTTTCTTCCCTGGAAACTCTACTAAATTGATAATAAGAATAGCAATGGTAGCACAAGATGTCTACCATAGATGCTGCTTTTTAGGAAAAAAATCAAATACCTTGATTACTGGCACACAGCAATTCTCTTTACATTAAAAAAAAAGTTAGTTCCAATATAAAGACAAATTATCTTTAAAACAAATAAGGAAACATCACATTTTACAAGACTCTATCCTCAAACTTGCCTGACATTATTGAAAAACAGTGGCACTTTCTAAGAACATCCGAGGTGATTTCTTCTGTAGGAATCAAAGTCACCAAGTCCTCTCCAACATGGGGCAGACTTACTATCATGTAATAAGCCCCAACTAATATTTGTTTGTAAAATGAATGAAACTAATAATAGTAGCCAATTAGCCACATAACATTTCTTTGGAGTGAAGTAATTGATTTGTCTCATCTTTATGACCTTATAAAAAGCAAAGATTGAGGGACAAATAAATCCATGTTTTTAATTCAAAGTACAAAAAAAAAAACCCATACTAGCTACTGGTATAGCCATTCCGCAGGTAACATCTCTCCCTAGAATTAGCTACAAGAAACATACGAGGTACTATCCTTTTCCTTTTGTTATATATTCACTCCTTGACCTAATTTCAAATTCAAACATTCTAACATTTAATATATAAGCGCTTAAAAATCCAGTCTTACAATCAAATGGCTGTAGGTATGTATGGAAGAAATCATTCTTAAAACCAACAAAAGTAATTTCATCTAACTTATTAAACATTTTTTCTGAGACAAAAACATTATCATAAAATAACAGCTTAAGATTTTACCTTCACAGTAGACTGGAAGCAGGATACTTTCCGAACTTGTCTGCCAGTATCACAATCCCATAACTAAACTTCTGTTAAGAAATAATTTCTAAACAGAACGTTAAAATCTCAATTAGGAGGTAAGTTTTCTAATAATTATAAATGTTACACATTCAGGTAGAAAAATCTTGAAATAAAGCATAAAATATTTAGCATTTATACTATTACTAAAATTAAATCATATAGTGAGTTATCAACTTAGCATAGCAAGCTTACAATCAAATAAGCTCGAGACAAATTTTACTATTAAACTATCTGAAAATGTCAACCAAATGAATGGTCTGAATACTGAATATTTATGGGCATTAAATATTACAAATGTTTAAATTTCAAACTTATTCTCCAAAATAGTCCACCATGACCTAATAAACATTGAACATAAAGTATTTATACTAAAAAACTATCAACTCCATTAATTCTTACTTGAAAGCTCCTTCAACATGCATGGCAGAATTTACTACTGTTATACTAATTCAAAAAAGCCAGTTACAGTGTATTACTTGTAAACATATTTAAAATAATTAGAGGACCTCCATTAAGTGTCCAAGGTTAGTTTGACTTAAGGAGGGTAAAGATTTTCAAATTTTTCACTCCATTTCCTAAGCTAACATATACATTTTACAGCATGTCTGAGCACCCATTTATATACATGCATACAAATATATATATATATACATACACACATGTATATGGATAGACTTAAGACTATCACCTGACTAAAATTAAAAATTTATCTTCAACATTTAATAAAGTTTGTTAATAGTGGAGGCTCAAGCAGCCTGGCATTATTTTTAACAAGAAAATTCAATGAAGAAAATGACTCAATACCATCATTTAAAAGTAAAGTTCATACTGATACTGTCTCAACTACTCATCTCCATACTATAACAGCAATTTAATATTTGCCTCTAAGCATTATTATAGTACCTTAGGAATAGTCTAATAAAAACAAAGTATTTTAAATTCTATTTTTGGAGATCATACTGATACTGAAAACAAACAAAAAGCTTAGGCCCTAAAATAATATTTGTCTCAACGGAACACTAGTAATAAAATTACTCTGACTTAAATATATGTAATACTGCTTATGCAACACTGTCATCACCACAAAATACAGTTTACCACGTGTAAATCTTACCTTGAAATTTTTTCACCTATTGGCTTCTGTCTAGAAATCAGCTGAGCTAATGAACTCATTTAAAGTATGTTATGGGGCGCCTGGGTGGCTCAGTCAGTTAAGCATCTGCCTTCAGCTCAGGTCATGATCCCAGGGTCCTGAGACTGAGCCCCAGGTTGGGCTCCCTGCTCAGCAGGGAAGTCTGCTTCTCCCTCTCCCTCTGCACACCCCGCCCATGCTAAGGCTTACATGCGCTCGCACACTCTCTCTCTCTCTCTCTCTCCCTCAAATAATAAATAAAATCTTTAAAAAAATAATAAAGTATATAATAAGGTATGTCCTGGTTCTGTAGAAGCCCAGGAAACACCTACCCCTTTGGGCATACTCCAAAACTTACTTTCCTAATGCTTCAAACTATTTAAACAGAATTCTCAGATAAGCACAGACTATTTAAAGCTAATCTCGGATACCTTTTTTTTTTTTAAAGTAAGATTACAGTTTCCTTTAAGTATTTGGCCAAGGGCTTCACAAATCTAATTCCTCATATAAATATTAAAGGCTGAATTTGTTTAAGGGAAGTATTTTATGAAGGCAATAATATACAGTGGTTCAGAGTTCTGACCCTTCAGTCAGACTGCTTGCCATCTGCCCTCTAGTGGCTGTGTGACCTAGGGCAAGTTACTTAACCTCTCTGTGCCTCTCTTTTCTTTTCTGGAAATGAGAATAAAAATACTTATATGAATTAAACATGTTAATATATGTAATACGGAATATATGTAAAAACATATGTAATATATGTTAAATAGAACAATGCCTAGCACACGTAAGAGCTCTCTCGAGAACTTTACCATTTTGTTATACCTTAAATTTTTACCTAAAAGCAGGGGAGGGGGAGAATTTACTCTTTTAAAATTATTTTTAAAAACTAAATATTAAACACTAAGCATATGGTAATTCACTTTTCTGCCAAGCTCAGATGTTCAGAAGGTTCTCATGGGTTGGGGCCGTTACATTTCTTTTGCTGTACAATACTGTACAGACAAAAATGTAAATTATTCTCCAGTCTAACTCATCTTTGTTTCTTCAAATATCTCTTACAAACTAAGATAAGTAAGTACTTTTAAGCCCAAATTCTCCATTTTCTATAACTTGATATAATAGTAACTCTGGAAAGAACAGCTTTAGTCATGGGGTTTCCATCAATAATAAGCCTTTAACCTATTTCCAGTCTAATACTTTTCAGATGCCTAATACTTTTAAGAAGTGTATTATGAAGGTTAGAGCAAAATCATTTTTGCTAAAATGAATGTACAGACAAGCCCCCAAAGGCTAAAATCTAATAATGTATGTACTGGTCCCTTGGGTCACTATAGCTATTTCACTTTCTTCCAGATTTAAGGATATAATAACTGTTCTATCAGCAGAGGTTGTCAAGATCAGTTGGTTTTTTTCTTCACAAGCTTCCAAGGAAGGAAATGTAGTAAGAGCTGTTATCTTTTGAGTGTGTCCATTAAGTTCCAGAAGTTTTTCTCCTGTCTGAAATACCAATAAAAATTTCAATAGGCTCATATCATATTTATAACTTAAATAATCTTAAATGACATTTAGAAGAATCACCATGTAGAAAATAACATAATTCCATTTTTAATTACTTAGATGTTATAACTTAACTTTAAGCAATCAAAAAGAATCTAAACAGGTACTGAAAGAGTAGCCATAAATAATTATTTTCTAATAGAAAATACTAATTTTTAGCATATTTTTACATGAAAATTTAAAGGGATATTCTTTTTTTCTTTAAATTTTTTTATTGTTATGTTAATCACCATACATTACATCATTAGTTTTTGATGTAGTGTTCCATGAGTCATTGTTTGTGCATAACACCCAGTGCTCCACGTAGAACGTGCCCTCTTTAATACCCATCACCAGGCTAACCCATCCCCCCACCCCCCTCCCCTCTAGAACCCTTAGTTTGTTTTTCAGAGTCTATCGTCTCTTATGGTTTGTCTCCCCCTCTGATTTACTCCTAAAGGGATATTCTTAAAACCACATGGTATGGTTTTAAGAATTGTATAAATTAAGTATAAAAAAAATCAGTAACTAAACTGTAGGAAAAAAATAGGGAGGTCTCATTATCCAAGTATTTGTTATCTAATCTCCAAAGTTAAAATGTTGTTGAAGGAAATAAAAGTTAGCATAACAACACAATACATATACTGTACACATCCAAGAGTAGTAGTTCAACCACTCATAAAGTCAGTCTCCACTCCATCTCTAATATCAACAGCTATTCATTCCTATCTATCCAGTGTCTTCAGCTATCAGTCTCTCACTGACTTTCCCAAGTAGTAAACACAAAAAATCCAATGTAAATATAACATAAATTGCAAATCCTTCCAAGGTTGCAGGATTTCATGAACATGGTGAACGTAATGTTAAATAACTGCTTTAATCACTGTCAAAGCCACTGAGAAATGAGGATCTGAAAGAGTCAGACCAGATAACAATCCAAGTAACAGTGAGAAGATAAATGTTTCAAGGGAGAATAATTTGAGTATCAAAAGATCAGCCTTAAAAATTTGGTGAGGGCACCTGGGTGGCTCAATTGGTTAAGCGACTGCCTTTGGCTCAGGTCATGATCCTGGAGTCCCGGGATTGAGTCCCACATCGGGCTTCCTGCTCAGCAGGGAGTCTGCTTCTCCCTCTGACCCTCTTCCCTCTTGTGCTTTCTATCTCTCATTCTCTCTCTCTCTCAAATAAATAAAATCTTTAAAAAATATATCTTTAAAAAAAAATTTGATGAAGCCTTAAATATTTTTGAAAAAAAATTAGCCTTTTATTACATTCCTATTAAAGTCAAACATGAGAAAACTATTACATTATGCTATCGTACAAGTTTGAAATAAAAATTCTAACTCCCACAAAAATAAATCAACACTTGATTCATTTTCAGAGTCAGTACATAGTTGCTGATAACTTAAATTTTGTTCAGTAAGATTAAAACTTTCTCTATTATGAAATATTGGCCCCCCCATTTTAAATGGATTCATCCTAAGTAGCCTTTTCCAAGTATTAATTAGTTTCAGTATACTTATATGCAGGTATATACCCAAATAATGTTTATGAATGCAAACTCAACTATACAGTCATGTCTTTATTACACAATTCACATAGAATTAATACACACCTGGGCATTCCACACAACTACAATTCCGTCATCACCAGCAGACGCAAATCTGGGTACAGAAAAAGGTAAAAAAAAAAAAAAAGAAATTTCTGGTGACATTTATATGCTAAAATTTCTAAGAACTATCAGAATTTATTAATGGTATTTTGACTAATATTAAGGCTGATTAAGTTAAGCTAATTCAACAAATAATTATGGACTACCTTCTAGGTTTTATGCCAGGTACTAAGGTCCAAAGATAAATAAAGCCATTCACAGCATTACAATGAATCAACTGCTAAAACTGTAAGAAAGAGGGAGACCTATAAATAATATTTAAAGTCCCTCCTGGCTTTAAAAATATGATTAAACCCTGACAGGTGATATGAAACCAAATGAAGAACCAGTGAAGCTCTTCCCTTCTGAGGAAGAGCTTCACTGATAGGAAGTGATATTCCAAGAGTGGAACAAAGGAATCATGTCTCTAGATAAGTTCATTATTTCTATTATTTTCTCTGTAAAGATATTTTAACTTTACTATTTAAAGCCAAGATCTCTCCTTTGCTCCACCTGGCTCTTAGTCTTTTCATGTAAATACTGTGTTCTTAGTTTGGAAGCTTTGAGGTTTTTTGAGGGTTTTTGTTTTGTTTGTTTTTTAGTGAAAATGTTTGAAATGCAAAAAGGTAAAGGGAAGTTTATTTCCTGCCATGAGAAAAGAGCTGTGATGAACTCGGTTATAGCTTCTCTCTCCTCTTTACTTCCCATTCACTATACATAAAGGAACAATCGTATACATTTTGTAGAGTAGAAGATATCCATGATACAAAGAATGCCAAGAAAAATAATTTGTTGTACACGATTACTCATCATAGTGAATGCATTACAGTATCAAGAAAGCACTGTTCTCAAGCAATGTCCCAACACGTGGTATACAATCACACCATAAGCATATCAAGTAATTTATTAATAATGTAGTATATAAGTTTGTAAATGATTCTTTAATGAATCAAAATTGATCCAAAGTTGTTCCCATATCACCTTCATTCACCTAAATTCAAGGTTTGTTTTTTGAAAAGGAAAGAAGTGGTATTATAGAAAGCCAGCTATGAACTGTGAATAACTGGCCCCTTATAGTTAACAACCATTAATAATAATAATTTTAAAAAAACATTAATAATAATAATCCACTGGGAGCTATGACATTTTAAAAATGTGTTCTTCCTTGCAAGACTGTTAGTGGGTTTCACAAAATCTGGGTATGCCTTGAATGTCTTCATTACAGGAAACATTGTTAGCCATACAGGTCTATCACTGGGGAACTGATACACTAAGACACAAAAGTTACTTTGTTACTGAGAGTATCAGGAAATTCTAACAAATTTTACCACTATATGAGATCCATAAAATCTCACTACTTCAGCCATTTCCTTAAAACTCCAAACTGAGCTTCAAGTTCTAATATCTCATGCTCAGTTTCGGAGTCCCATAACTGCTGTCTTCACTGGCTCTGACAATTCCCATACTCATTTCAGTATTCATTTCTAAATCCTTCAATTACATTTCCTACTATAGGAGCTAAGAGATTACTCAGGAGACGGGAAATTAGTTAAATACATCCTCACCAAAGTCTGTTAACAATTTTTTAATATAGAACTATGTATCTTTTTTAATGGAAGGATCTTTAGAACTTCCTAGGTAGCTAGTAAGAAATCACATGCAGAATTATTTTTTAAATCCATGCCTAACATTTATTCTTATTTCAAAATGAAGTATATAAAAAATCTGGAGATTAAAAAGAAAACATTTTTAAATTAAAAACACAATTTCTTATTTAATAACATACATTCTTCTGAATCAGAATACGAAACAGTGCCTAAGTATCAAAAACAGTTGCTGAACATCAATCTTTAATAGCTTATGTTTCTAGGCCTATTGATTTCTTTTTATTTGTATAGTGATGGTGGGGAGGCAGGACTCAAGGTCTTAAGTTTTCTTTGGTATAAAACATTAATTTCTATTGATTCTTGAAACTCTTATAATTGCTTTTCTCCTTTCTAGAAGACTGCAGGTTTAAAATACATACTTTTTTCTAACCCTGATTTTTAACTTCTCATTATTGTTTTATCATGTCTGAATCTCATGAGTTCACAATGAGAGACGATTGAACGGTTGAGAGTTTAGAAATGAGATATAGAGCATTTCACCTCAAACTTTAATTCAATCAGTAGTGAACAAAAGTTAAATCTAAACAATGCTCAATGTAATGCATGAAATCACAGCCAATTTTTTATTGCTCAGAGGTCAATTACCCAGTTGGTGGATATTCGGGCCTTTCAATTTTCTTATATACTCTCTATTGCTGCCTTTTTCTTTTTTTGCCATTTCAGTATTTGTTATTACCTCCTCTAAAGAGAAAACATGAAGCTTAGAAATGTAAATCAATATAACTTTGCTACATATTAGTATCACCCATAAAATAACGAATAAAGGATTAGGAGATCATTTGCAAATTACAATTATCCATGCTATTAGGATGGATAATTGAAAACTAGCTACACTTTATCAGTTTATCTTAAACTATAATCAGTTCATCCTAATCAGTCAAGCACACACTTCAGCCATCTGCAAATCAGAAATGACAATTCAACCCAAGAATTCCTAATAGTAAGATACATTGTAATTGCTAAAAAAAAGTCATGAACTATAAAAAAGGAGTAATTAAAATGCCAGTAAGGTTTAAACTATTCAATGGAAGGAAGAATTGTGGCTGTACTGCATTAAAATTACATGTAATAACTTTTTAAAACATTCTAAACTCATAGAATCCAAAGATTCAAGTCTATAGCTAAGGTTTTAAGAGAAACGCTTCCTTACCGATTAGTACAAAATGTAGTTAGTGAGATTCATGCTAGGTGACAGGGAAATGTCAAGATTACATGTGGATCTTGCTTCAAGATGTCAAAATTCAGTGATTGTTTAGAAATGTATTCCATCAACTTTAAGATATTAAGTATAAGACATTCTATACTGCCAATTATAACTGAAAGACACTAACAATTTTATGATATCTCCAAATTTCAGAGATCTTAAAATAGGGAAAAAAACAGGCTTCTTAGAATCAATGAAATACAGTAACTGCCATATTTACTGGTGTTTATGATTGGCATTTTCGAGTCCAACAAATCTCTGATTATCTCTAGGAGGTTTAAGGCACCAAAGAAATGCTTTTTCAATGAATAAATTAATGAATAAGCGAACATTTAAGTGTTGCAAGGGCTCTGAAAAATAGGTAATCATTAACTGTATTAAAGTAACATTTTTCATTTTATCATTAACGTATGAATATACTATCAAAACAAAAATTAAAATAAAAAAAAACTTAAAACCCAGAAACCCACCACACACATACATAAATTCCTTTTCTTTTCATGCTCCTGCCCCATAGTTATATATATCTTTCAATTTGAAACCATGTCTTCAAAAACACTCATTGAGAGTATATGATTAAATGACCCAGCAAGGGGCAGCTGGGTGGCTCAGTCGTTAAGTGTCTGCCTTCAGCTCAGGTCATGATCCTGGGGTCCTGGGATCGAGCCCCGCATCGGGCACCCTGCTCAGCCAGGAGCCTGCTTCTCCCTTTCCCGCTCCCCCTGCTTGTGTTCCCTTTCTAGCTGTCTCTCTGTCAAATAAATAAAATCTTTTAAAAATAAAGAAATAAATGACCCAGCAAAAACTATATGCATGAAAAGAAGTTTAACAAGGTGAAACATGATTTAATGAAGACCTATAGCAGAGCTTCTAGAATGTTCCATCCTCTCCTACCCTAATTATGAGAACTAAACTTATCATGAGAGTTGATGATTCACTCATTCATTCAAGAAATATTAAACACTAACTATATATTAAGCATTAAATGTAACTATATGTATATTTGATAATATATATTTGATAATGTAAAGATCAGTAGACTAGTTCTTGCCCTTAAAGAACTCAGTCTACATTACTAAGTAATGCCATAGGGTCCAGATCATGAATCCATTGAGAATTCTCATTTGTACTCCTTTCAATCTACAGAAATCATTCCTTTTAAACACCTTCCCTTTGAACATCTCAGAGAAAGTACTCTCATTCTTGCCAACTGTGAACTGAAAAGTACAGCAAAACTTCACAAAGATTTGTATAACACAAAATATTTTCACAAGAAATTCCTATGTCTATTACTTAAGGGCTTATTTAATAGTTCTTATTCTTTTGAATTTATTTCAATTAGGTCAAAGGTGCTACAGATTCAAATATAACCTTAGAGGACATAATGAAAGGTACAGTCCATAAAACTTCCTGTATTCAATATCTACCATAAAGCACTGGAAAAATAAAAAGAGAATATTATTATGGCAAAATAAAAAATCCCTGTGGTTAACTAACTCCTCACCTAATCCACAAGTACTTTAGTTGCATGATGCAACTAAAATAGTATATATTTTTTACAATAAAATAGAAATGAAAAATGGTACAATACCAAAAACCCAACCAAACTGAAAGGATAGAAAACTTCCATTTAAAATAGATTTTTACTTAACTTGTATGCTTGAACTACTTGAAGAAAATCAGAGAAGTATGTGGAAACTTGTAAGCGGAAGGGAACTTGAAAGCGTTTTCATGAGCCATACACACTGATGTCCATGATCCTTTCAATAGATTTACTGGAACATCAAACTTTTTCTTCTTAAGAAAAATGCATACATTAACATAACTCTAATATCTGAATGTCTAAGGTCCTTTTTTAGCTCACACACACACATAATTTTCATGGTCATTAGGAGAGGTAAACCCTTCATAAATTCTTCCCTCCCCAAATCACAAACAGAAAGCTAAACTACATCAAAGTTTACAAATATTAGAAACCCAAAACTCCCTAGGACTTCTATCAGGGGAAACCTCCATTCCTTGAGCTCAAATTTCTGTGAAAGAATTTCTACTACTAGAGAAACATCCCTCGCCTCTCTCTGCCTGGCTGGTCAAATAAATGAGTGTATGAGAATGAACTGAGCATGCTCAGTTAGGACCCTG